CATCAAAGTTTAAGTTGTTGTACGAATGTGCAATCTAATATATAAGTAGTGTAACACTCCCTCTCACGCATAAGCTAGACTTTGATATAATATTTAGGAGATGAGCACCGATTTAATAGATAAATACTTTAACATTCCCCCCCCCCCCCCCCAACTACCACGAATAAACTATCTATTTTAGACTTATTAGGGGTGAGCATAGTTCCAAAATAGAACCAAGAACCAGAGAACCGAACCGGTAGGAACCAGTGCAGTTATGGTTTCCAGGATATGCAAAACGCAGATTCTAGGTTCAAAAAATTGGGGAACTGGTTCTTATGGTTAAGTTCCTAGAACCTAGAACAAGATTTTGTGTTTTTCTTGTTCTATATCTTCGTGCAATCCTATAGTATTCCATGGCGTCCGATGATCAGTGTGTAATTTGAAACTACTAGTCTAAACTTTCATTCCCGGCATATCCATGACTGAGATTTTTACTTTTTTAATGTTTTATATTTTTTTGTTTCTAAATATAAATTGTGATTAGTGGATTGTAACAGCAAATAGTAGTCATTAGAAGGGATAATTCACTGTAATTGTTCAATTAAGAATACAAGTAGAACATGATAGATCCTAAAATCTAGTCCCTAGAATCTATAACAGAGTAGGTTCTAAATTCTAGAGTATGCATGGTAAGTTTCAAGTTCTAAAAATTTAAGAACCAGTTCCAACAGGTAGGTTTTAGGTGGAACCTAGGCCGACTCTGGAACCGCTCATCCCCTAATACTTATGGATTAGCTGACAGTCGCAAAACCAACCGGTTTGATTCTCAGTTCCAATCTTTTGTGAGCACTTGGTGAAACCCATCACCGATACTAACATTAAAGCGTGCAATTAAGAACTGACCCAACTTGAAGTCGATTGCTCCATATTAAAATTGAAGTGTGCAAATTGATATATAGCGGCAAGTACGTATGTGCATGAAGGATTGAACTCTAAATTTCTTATTCTAATATCAAGTGAAAAATTTTGTGCGACCACTAACAAGTATTTAAAAAGCTTATTCCGATTTAATATCTTGTGCATGGCATTCACACTAAATCTCACTAAACAACCTCACAAATCTCCGACACCTTTTGTTCTCCGTGTACACGGCATCTTCCTTTCGCTTCTCCCCAGAACAACCTGCGATTACTTAATTACGAACAGTGGCATAACATGATGTCACCGCGCATGTCACCCACGACAGCGACTTCAGCGGATCGTCCACCGCAATGAATAAAGAACCGAGAGAGCGAGCGAGCGAGACAGAAAGACACAGGGTTAGACCAGATCGGAAGGCTACACGATTTGATATCGTCCATTACGAATTTGGTCGCAAAAGCCAGTGTGAAATGTCGCAAAGGTTGACGTTTCGGGGATTAGTCACGACAAAATCCTCTCTTGACTCGAACAGCGCCGACATCCGTTGTGGCCTGTGTCGATCGTTTGATGCCTCTGTTTCGCCAGGATTTCAGTCTCGATTATGCTTCGGAAGACGTAGTAGACTCGACCATGGGTTCTTGACGTCTCATCCCTCGTCCTTCCGTTCTTTCTTAAGGTTTACGTGATTATGTCAAACTTCTTTATCCTGCCCCTGCCACTAGACTAAGGAAATTTTACGAGATAAGAAATTGTAAAATTTATCACTAAAGTGCAATTAAGTCATAAAATTTTAAAAAAGTGTAATCAAATTTTAAAACTCGCTAAATCGATGCAATCAAATCATTCTGTTAATTCCGTCCAACTTGACAAACGGAAAATATTGACATGGTATTTTATTACCTTCTCTCTCCTACACGATATTTTTTTTTATTATTTTCTTTTTCAAATTTTACTTAAATTAGATTAAATAAATTAAAATAGACTTTTTTACATCAAAAAACCAAGTAAAACAAAAGGAACAAGTCCTCTCTTTCACTGGTGGCTGCTGCCACAACCCTCGGGAAGGGCTGGCAGAGGTTGCCTGGGCCTTGCAGAAGCCTGGCGACCTCAGCCGGTCCTTCCCGACGGCTGTGGCAGCGGCCACTGCTTGTAGTGTGTACTTGGTGTTTTTTCTTTTAACTTTTAGCTTTTTTATTTTTTTAATCTAATTTAGTTTGTATTTTTTTAATTTTGAATATTTTTGTTTGACATGGCGCTTGGTGGGTGCCACATTATCACCACATGTTTTAAGTAAGTAATAAAATAAGATAGGTCAACATTTTTCAGTACACTTATCCCAAATTTTATCTGTTCTAGTTATCAAGTTTTTTCAGGTTTCATTTAATCAATATTTATAAAAAAATTAAATCGTCATATCTTGGGGTTAATATGGATTCAAGGTAGAACCGGTAACCGGATCAAACTGGCCATAAAAACTGATAAGGTTTCAGGTTCCCATAATTATTAGATCGTTCTCGGCTCTAAAAAAGTGGAACTAGTAATGTGTAGTTTCAGTTCCCGATTCCTAGATATGAAACGAACCTGTGTTAACCCTTAATTCTCTTTTAACTCTTGCTAACAATAACAAGCGCTGCCTCTCAAGTCTCGTCCGCCTCTCATCTTTTGGTTCTGCCACATATTAACAACAAACCGGTACCCACTAACTCAACATTTTATATTGTTTCCTTTTTCTCTATCTGTAGTTTCTCACTGTTTCGTTCACCTCCTGCCTTTTCTATTGGTAGTGAAGATCCCCATCTCCATTTGAGTGCTTTTGAAGTTGGCGTCAGTATATTTTTTAACAAATATAAATTTCTGCAGTTTACGTGATTATGTCAAATTTCTTAATCCTTCGACGGCTACTAGCCTAAGGAAATTTTATAGGATAAATACACTAAAAGTTCTAAATTTTATCATGAAGATGTAATTTAGCTAGTCTTAAAATTTTTAAAAAGTGCAATTAAGTCTTGAAATTTATCAAATTGATGCAATCAAGTCCTTTTGTTAACTCCATCTAACTTGACAAACGAAAAATGCTTACGTGACATTTTATTACTTTCTCTCTCCTACATGATATTCTTTATTATTTTATTTTTCAAATTATACCTAAATTAGATTAAATAAATTAAAATGGACAATTATTTATTTCTAAAAACCAAGTAAAACAAAAGGAACAAGCCCTCGCCCTCACTGGTGGACACCGCCACAATCGTCGGGAAAGGCCGGCGAGGATGGATTTATTTGGATGGGATGCATGGGGTTTCCTCAAGATCGGTAGCTTTGATACCAAATTAAATGTAAAATTACGGAAGATTGATAATTGGGGAATTTGTGTAAATTTCAAAAAATAGAAACGAGTACATGAAGGGCCAATTTATAGTCTTTAATAAATAACTATCTAAAAAAATCAAATCAAATATGCATAATCAAAATAGATATAGAATTCAGAGGAAACATCCTAAATATCTCTAACATGTAAACAATACATTAAGTATAAAAAGGGGTCTGAATTCATTTTATCAATCAGATCCACATTTATACGTAACTCTTACCTCTATCGCTTTCTATCATCTTTATTCCCATACTTTCTTTGTACTTGAGGTTTCCCGTCTCCCTTGTTACTGCTAATTAAACAAGGACGCGTGTTTGACCCAAAAAAAAAAGGACGTGTGTTAAATAACATTAATGCTGCACCGCATTCAAATTCATGGAGTTTTCTTCTGTCCACCTTCATTTTGAGAGAGATTATTCGTTTCCTATATCTCTAAAGCAAATAGTTTAGTCGGTGGTCGGTGGATCCTGTTGGGATTTTGGAACCAAAATCCCATAGAATTGAATGAGAAGTGTGTGGGTGAAAGTGTCCCACATAGGGTAGAAGAGAGATGGGAGATGGGTTCAAATAGTTGAGCCTCACAAATGGGTTTGGGCCCCAAGGGGTACCCCACTTTTGTGGAAGAGAGAGGACCTACGTCAAGCTAGGTCGGTCCACCTCCCGCGCGCGCGCCGCCGCCGCCGTCCGTCCGGCCGGCTCGGCTCGGTTCGGTTCGGTTCCGGGTCCACTCTCTATCGGTTCGCCCGAACGAAAACCGAAGCCCTTCGCGCCTGTTCACGAACCAAACCGGTTTAAGGCTCGGCTCGTGACTGTTCACATGACCGAACAAAATTGTTCGGTTGGTGACTCTTCGGTTTCATCCTTCTATATCCGAAATTCCTTGATGACTATTCATTCATACATGACCGAACAAAGTGCTCTTGGCATTTCATATTTTCGCGGCATTCTGCTGCTCTCTCATTCTTCATCATTTGTCATTTCGTGCGATTGTTCTGCAAAATTGCGTTCGTTGGAGTCCTCCGGATACGTACCGCTTCGGAGGAACGAGATCCGTTCTATCCTGGGAGACGATTGTCCAATATCCTCGGGTACTGATTGAGGGGCCAAATTCGTCTTAAGGACACGACGTTAATTCGTTGGGCTCGGATCAACATTTTGCTTATTTGGTTGTACTGCTTTCAGGTCAGTTTTCCTAACGCTTGATTTTAATTTCTGATATATACGAAATTAGCCGACTACAGATCCTCGATAGTAATGGAGTACAAAAATACGTTGTGCCGATGTATCAACCTCTCCAAATGGTGAATCATCGTTTTGCGCAATAAAATTGTAATTCTCCCATCATTGCTGCCTTTGCGGCGTCATCTAAAAAAGACGAAATTTTCAGCATCATTTAACATTGTGGTGTTTCAAGTAAGTATATTGAAACGCTTTTTGTTAGTCGACAATCGATGATAACATTGGAAAAGTGAAAGATGACACTCGATCATCTACATCGTCCAAGGTCTACTCAATGCACCATGCGTACAACCGATACAAAGCGAAAGAGCCCACTCCAAGACAGAATATGGCCAAAAGACAAGCTATAGACCGAGAGTGTAGCGATACAAGACTATCCCACTCAATAAGACTCGAAAGATCACACTGATAGTGTACGTGTAATCAGCACAGCTCTTATTCCTAATGCATAACGAGCACATGCATGGACACATCATCTATGGCGCACTCAGCTCTCGGTGGGAGGCTTGTGCGGTGGCTTCTCTCCCTTCCCCTTCTTTGGCTCCTCCCCTTTCTTTGGTGGCTTGTGCTCGGGAAACGGCTTCTTCGCATCCTCTTCCACCTCCTCTACGAGAATGTGCCCCTCGTGCGGTGGCTTGCCTCCCTTCCCCTTCTTTGGCTCCTTGCCTTTCTTTGGTGGCTTGTGCACGGGGACTGGCTTCTTTGAGTCCTCTTCCACTTCCTCTACGAGAATGTGGCCCTCGTGGGGTGGCTTGTGCTCCGGTGGTGGCTTCTCTCCCTTCCCCTTCTTTGGCTCCTCGCCCTTCTTCGGCGTCTTGTCCCCGGGGAATGGCTTCTTCGAGTCCTCTTCCACCTCCTCTACAAGAATGTGTCCTTCGTGCGGTGGCTTGTGCTTTGGTGGCGGCTTCTCGCCTTTCTTCGGGGGCTTGTTCTCGGGGAATGGCTTTTTCACCTCCTCGGCTTCCACTTCCTCGGCAAGCATGTGGCCCGGGTGGTGGTGGTGGGGCGGTTTCTTTCCGGGGAATGGCTTTTTGTGGGAGACCTCCTTTTCAGCCTCCTCGATGAGGATGTGCTCAGGAGGGTGGTGCGGGGGCTTGGGTTTGGTGAATGGCTTTTGTGAGTCCTCGACTTTGACGTTCTCTAGGAGGCGACGACCCCCAACAGGGTGGTGCTTGTGGGGTGGTTTGTGCTCTTTTGGTGGTTTAGGGTGGTGGCCGTCGCAGAAGACGGTGGTGGCGAAGAGCGCCACTCCTAGGAGCAACACTAGCAAGTGCTTGGATGACATTGTGCGCTTCATTTTAGCTTAGGGAAGAGGATGTATGAGATGGTGTTGGAGTTAGAAGCGAGGGAGTGTCTCGATTTATAGTGTTTTTTGGGACTTATGTCGTCGTCAGCAAGCATGTCACTCGATCCCTTAGGATTTTGCTTTTTGCCTTTGCTATGAAACTGCGCATCGTCGAGGTATTCTGTTGGTCGCTCGAGAGAGAATGTGACAGGGTGGGGTCCGTCTTTAAAAATGGGCTTTAGGGTTGAAAAGATTGACAATCAGGCCCTAATTTACTGCTCTCTGTGGACAGATTTACACCGCCAGATGGCAATTAGGAGGGGTCCATCTTTAGTGTCAATTCTCTCTCTTAAAAAAGAAGTAGTCATTTCAATGTGCAATTGGTGAAGCCGGACACGACGAGAAAATATTGCGTGAGTGGAATACACCACGTCAGCAATACATAACACCGAGAAAATATTGCGTGAGTGGAATACACCACGTCAGCAATACATAACACCATTGAGCGGAAGACACGTGGCAAGAAGGGCCCACAGATCAGATTTACTAAAGAATCAGCCGCTTTCCCTTCTCTCTCCCATTCTCCGTTAACCCTCCGTTAGCCTCGCCGCGACTGCTCAAAAATTCACTTTTCATCTGGTTTCTCTCTCCCTCACTCCTCCCGCTCAAAATTTCTCCTGCTCCCGACCTCCTCTTTCTTCCTCCGCGACTTCGCCTCCTTTGCTCGTGAACCCGCCGCGCCTACGCGGGTTGCCTCAGCCGTCCCCTTCCAGAAAACCCATCTACTCTCTCTCTTTCCTCCGCGAAGCACGGCTCTTTTTGTGAGCCGCGCCTCCGCCTCCACCGCTTGCCTTCGCCGTCGCCTCTCGGAGCCCGTCGGTGGCTCAGATCCCGACCACGCGGCCGCCTCCGCCTACGTCGTCGCCTCCGAAGCTCCCATTGGCGATTCGTCCTCTGCCCCTCTCTCTTTGTCTCGTGAAAGGGCACCGCTCGGCTGTCTGTAACGAACCGCGCCTCCGCCGTCGCCTCCCGAAGCCCCTTTGGCGATCTCGGGCTCCGGATCTCCCTCTACGTTGCCTCTGAAGCCCCATTCTCAGGTTAAGATTTGATATGACTTGAACTTATTCTCATCGTTTTTGCCCTAACGTGAAGATCGGTGGCTCAGATCCGACCACGCGGCCGCCTCCGCCTACGCCGTCGCCTCCGAAGCCCCCCATTGGCGATTCGTCCTCTGCCCCTCTCTCTCTGTCCCGAGAAATGGCTCCGCTCAGCTCTCAAAGCTGGCGCTAGTGGTGGTGATGGTGGGGTCGAGGTGTGCGTGTTCGACAATCGCGGCGTGGGCTGAAGCTCCATGCCCGTCGACAAGTCGGAGTACACGTGAGTCCGATCGACGCATACCGTGAGCTTTCTAGTTCGTTTGAGTGTGTGCTGCTTCGTGGAGTTTCTTGAATCGGGAGCGTATTCACAGGAGAAGTTGATTGATTGCGTGACAGTGCAAAAGAAGCAATTTGGCAATGAATTTCTCATCTGTTGTGCTAATATTATCTTCTCATCTTCTTTATAGCCACAATTATGAAATGTTATATTCTTGCATTGTGATCTTGATCGCTACTTCAACCTTGTTTCAACTTGCGACCCTTGATCCTCTCAAATATATAGTCCTGTCACTAAAATGTTTGGCATCTTTGGAAATGCCTTGTTTGGCAACTTGATCTGTATGCATAGTAAGATCATTCCAAATGTATGGATACTGGTGATATAAATGAAACTATTAACTGTCATTTTTCCTCCTATTGTGTCTTGCAGGTAGGTTTGAGGGTTGAACATCCTCAAGAACTAATAAACAGCATACAGGTTGGTGATGCACTTCCCTTTGCTAGTGTAAATTTATGGAAGTTCTCTTGATTTTCTGGGACTAGATCAGTCGTGGTTAAATTAAGCCCTTGGCAAAGACAGAAATAATAGGGGTTGGCTTCTTTTCTTCCTTATCTCTCGGGTAGAATTAAGAGTTGACTATGGTTTCAAATCGAGCAGTATGATGGATCATCTAGGGACAAATGTAGTAGTCTTTTGTTTTTGTAAATTCTTCTAGGTTTCTCAAGCACTAATTGGAGCTGGTGGTGTCCTCTTATTCTCTACATTTTGATAGTTTCATTTGCTAGCAGCACTCACTTTATTTCTTCTTGAGCTTCTGACCAGTTCCAATCATAAATTCATTACAGGTAATTTCAAAATTATGCAAGCAGCCAGTCGTTGTTTATATTCCAGAGCATGAGGTGAGTTTTTTTCTCAACTTACATGGTCTTTCACATTTGTTGGATGGTAGAGCAGATTGAATTTAGAAACCATTTATCGCAAAAAAAATTCCTGAAACCGAGTAATTGTATTTCCAAATTCTTCTTTTAATTGGAGATTGCAATATATAATAGTGTCATGGAAGTAAGTACTTATCAGCTTAAGTTGGTACTCTAATTTGTCATGGAAGTAACATAATGGTTAAGATAGGAACAGCAAAATCTAGAGTGCTTGAACTGATCTCATTGACATTGAAAAGTGACTAATTCTGCCATTTTCAGCTGACTGAAAGTTATTATGGATAAATACCTGAAGCACGTTCCCTAGTCCTTGGAGAGGACTTGGAATTGGTTTCCTGATAAAAGTGGAAAAAGGATTATCAAAACAATCAGCTCCCATTTTCATGCCCGCCGACAAGTTGGAGTACATGTGAGTCCAATCGACGCATACCGTGAGCTTTCTAGTTCGTTTGAGTGTGTGCTGCTTTGTGGAGTTTCTTGAATCGGGATCGTATTCACAGGAGAATGGTTGCCAGTTGGTGCAAAGCTTAAATGCAGCTTCAACTTTCCTTGGACTAATCGTGCACATTGGATGGCTTTCTTAGTCTTTTAGTTTGATGATAATTTGGTGCTGTTCCAAAAACATTTTAACAAAAATTGACTTTGACTTTCGATGTGATTTATGGAGCAGGACAAAGATTATGGCGAAAGATGCGATTACTGTACTCGATCACCTGGGATGGGAAAGAGCCCATGTCATTGGCCATTCAATGAATGAGTTTTGAATGACCCAAATTTCATGGATGCTTATTTGGCTCTGTTCTTCATATGAGAAATTAAAACAACCATTCTGATTGCAATTTCTGGATGCCTGGATTTATCTGGCCATTTTTTAAACTTAATAATGAACTAAAAATCACATCCATGACATGTCTGCCTATGTGTCCAGATCGGGGTCCTTTTTGTTTCAGGGTGACTAACTGCCCTCTTTGGCTGTCAAAACAGGAGCTATGATCGCTTGCAAGTTGGCTGCCATGGTGCCCAACAGAGTTTTACCTTTAGGATTGCTCAATGTGACTGGTGGAGGTTATAAATGTTTCCCAAAGGTATTGCATTCATTTTAGTATGCGATGATCCTTCCTTTGAATAGAGATTGACATTTTTCTCCATGCAAACTAAAAGGGGAAAGAATGTTCTTACCGGTTTCTTTTATCATTAAAAGAACTATTTGTTTGTGTGGGTGTTCGCTATTCAGTACTTTACAGACAGGTTGTTCATTTATTGCATGCTGAGCCTGTTCCATGCTCCTATCCTTTGCTTTAACCACATCAACAAGAGGAAATGGATTTTTTTTACTAATATATTGCTTAGAAAGGAGCCGTTATGAACTTTTACTGGTTGGTTACTTGCCGATTTTAATCCATGTCAAGAATGTTCCTTATTAATGTTGCGCGTAGTAGAAGTTGCTTTCACAGTTTGCATCTCTCGAATGTCCCAGTCACAGCTGCCATACAAAATCATTCAGATGGAAAAATCTTCAAAAGATCTCATTGCATCACTTGAATAACCCAGCTATAGCTACTGCACAAAATCATAGAGATGGTTATTTTTCAAAAGATCTCTCGTTGATTAGCTACAGGAGTCCTTTTCCTTGTGAAAATGAGAAGCAATGCAGAGACATAGGACTTAACCTTGGATATTGTGTAGGAACAATGATTTATTGAAATAGAGATTCTAAGAAAGATCAATATCTAGCGAGAGCCTTTCTGCATCGCAGTTGCAGTCTTCCTGAGATGATTCTGTGTTTTCATCTAGGCAAAAAAGGGTCCTCTCACAGTTTGCCTTTTAATGGTGAAACTGCTTATTGTTTACTTGAATCCATTCATATTCTGTATCTTGACCTCACCATATGATGGAACATTGTTATTGGGGGAGTGGAAGCTGTTTTGACTTTCCTCAAGGAAATTGGTTTCATTTTTACTTTCCCAAAGAAATTCCCATACTTGTTTTAAGTAGCTACTTGTGCTATTTACCATGTGAATTAAATTAGTTTTGATGATGCAATTACATTGTCAATTAAAACCAAAAAAAATTGAATCCAGTCCTGATATTACACTTGATCCACTATTTGAGTGGTCTAACGATGATCTTTTGATTTGCGTAGATTGACCGGCGAACCATCTCAATTGCAGTCCGCGTTTTTAGGGCTAAGACTCTAGAACAAAGGGCTGCTGTTGATTTGGATACCCACTACTCAAAAGTAGGCAGTACTTATGTACTTAAACCATCATTGTAAAATCCACTGCATCCTCCTTTCATCTCTGTCAAAGGAAAAATACTTAATCTTTCTCCATCCCAAAAGAAATAAGGATTTCGGGAGAACAATTAGTTGTTCTGTGATTGTATGAATAAAGGACTCCAAGTAAATTCATTTGTGTTCTTATGATTGGAGTCTTTCTTTTGGGACATGGAAGTGCGTCGATGTGTTAGGCTTCCACGGACAGAGGTTTCAGATAATCTGTGTGAGTGTGTGTGTGAGAGAGAGAGAGAGAGAGAGAGAGAGAGAGAGAGAGAGAGAGAGAGAGAGAGAGCAATCCATAGGGTAAAGCCGTTGGTCTATTTTTCTTTCTCTTATGGAAGCGTAATGTATTATGTGCAGGAATATCTTGAGGAATATGTTGGATCTAGCACCCGGAGGGCAGTACTCCACCAAGTAAGAAATCTTGAAAAATCTCAAGTTTCTTTGGTCTAGCATTAACATAATGGAGCAAACTCTACATGGCCTTAGTAACTCTTGTGTTATTTAGAGACTTCCTAAGGGTTTTTTAAGGTTTAGTAAGTGTTTATGTCTACGAGTGTTGTTTAGGTTTAAATGCACAACAATGCCATATAAACAAGTGTCAAACTATCATTGAGTTTTCCTATCCTTAGGATTTCCAGAGATGCATTTTACTTTGGTGTTCACGGTTAAATGGACCTACCTCTGAATAACCATGGTGCAATAGTTTTTCACTTATGACTATACACCTTTGCTTAGAGTTCATTGAAACTGGATGAACTTTATAAGAGATTACTTCACTGAAAATTGCCATTTTGTGTTGAAGTCAATAATTGGTTTTTGACTAGTTTAATTTTATAATTTTAGTATAAGATTGATAACTTGACTAAGGACTAGATCCTATCACTTGCAGGAATATGTAAAATGTATTACAGCAATGGGACTGCAGTCCAATTATGGCTTTCAGGGTTAGATAAATGCTTGCTGGAAGCATAGAATGACAAGAACAGAGATACAATTCTGTAACTTCTTTCCTGCAGCATCTTTGTTTTGTCTAGGACTCTTCATCGGGAGTGCGCTGTTGGCATCAGATTACAGAGAGGTGGATACCTACTCTTCTTAGTTCTACAGATCATCATGTTTTTTCACTGTTACTCGGTCCCGGCAGTTTATATGCTGGATGTTGCGAATGAAATTGAAAATGTTTTGCAGAAATTCTCAGGATGGGATTGGAGGATAATTGATATATGACAGAGCTCTAACACCAGCACTTGTGCGGTATGTCATCCTTCCATCCAGTGCTTGTTATTAGAGAATGGCAGTTTTGAACTTCATCACTTTCAATTTAATTGTGCCATGCCAGATGTCTCACTTGTTGCTTAATAGCTTATTTGTGTTTTCATTTCAGAATCGATGCGGACCACGTGGAAGTGAGGCCTTACCAGAAGGTATTGTTGCCAATTCTTCTGATTTGGAAATGAGGCCGTTATGGGATTCTGCAGAGGTAAAAAAACAGCCTGAAATGACAATAGTTTTTTCAATGTAGAAGATATAACATCATAGTTCTGAACATGCATTAACTTGCTTGATCTTTGGACAGGGCTCTCTTAGTTCTTCGTCTAACTTGTTTGCCGTGGCTGTTGGAATCAAGCAAAAGGATCTTGTGAATAAAATGGTTACAAAGGTGAGGAGACTTTTCTGGCTGTTGCTTAGCCTATTTTTCTCGAGCTTTTTTCCAGGCTAACTGTGTCAATTTTCACTTTGCAGTTTCTGTCAAATGATTTTGTGGTGATGCTTTTCCACTATGATGGTGTTGTTGATGAGTGGAAGGACTTAGAATGGAGTGATCGCGTCATACATGTATCTGCATTTAACCAAACTAAATGGCAACTGGTCTTTTCCTTCCAACCCAGGTAATAATCATTCACAGTCTCCTAATGGATCTTCAATCTCCTAAGCAACAATTTCCTTACCGTCTTCTAATGAAGAAGAAGCAAATGACGCATTCTAAATGTTTTTTTCCTGTCATTTGACTTTGAAAGCATGATTTTTATTTTTATGAACTGAGATGTCTATTCAAACAACTAATTGAGAGAGGATGTAGAATAAAGTGCTATTTCATATTGGGTTGAGATGTAGGTATCACTTATCGCAATGTCACACTATATTCATTGATATGTTGGTTGATAGAACTTCCTAGCTTATGTGATAGATAAGTTTATTGCTTATCATATAAATGTATGCGTATTAGTATGGTGATACTATTCATCTTCCCATGTCCTCATGCCATTTCTGCTCTAAATCATAGGCAAGAGGATGCATATGACTAAGTGGATGAGTGTTATAAGAAGACCAAGTTCGTAGCTGCATATCAGAACATGATTCAACCCATACGAGGAGAGAAATTTTGGAAAAAGACTAATAAGGAGGCCCCTGAATCACTTCCAGCGAGGGCGAAGCCTGGTAGACGCAAACATAAAAGAATAAGAGAGGAAGGTGAGGTCGCAAGTGGTATTAGGATGTCGAGGGTAGGAATGAAGATGACATGTCGAAGTTGCAAGAAGACGGGACACAATAGTTTAACATGCCCCACTAAGAAGGCTGGGTTAGCGGCATCACAAACACCATTGTCTAGGCAAAAACTTCCGGTAAGTACTTCCATTTTGTTAGATTTACTTTTTTACTAACAACGATTTTTAAATTAATGAAATCTTATAATATTAGGTTAAGAGTAAAAGTGCTAGAGAGGACAAGAGACAAAGAATTGATACACAAGCACATGTTGAATCAACATCACAAGAAGCTGAAGTTGAAGTTCCAGTTAAAGTAGCAAGGCCATCAAGAAAGAAAAAAAATATTGAAAGGACGCAACTCTGACCTATAAGAATGATAGCCATTTGTGAGGGTTGGGTTTAGGGAAGTGATGTGGCTGTATTTTTTTGTTGATGATGGGTTCAGGGAAGTGATGTGGTTGTTTTTGTTCTTTTGTTGCTGATGGATTCAGTGAATGAGATGTTGACTATTCCATTATGCAATGATCGTGGGAAAGATAGTCTAGTTACGGCTTCTTTATTATGATAACTTGGGATTTCATGTTCTTCAATCAAATTCTTGGTTGACTGTTTCAGCAAAGATTGTCTGGTTATGACTATTTTTGGAAAGATAGTCTGATTTGTTCAAGCGAAAGATCCTACTCGATCCACTCTGCCCTCTATTTTAGCAATTCCCATAAACTACATAGCACCTCCTCTGTTTCTGCCCTCTGGTTAGGGTGAGGTCCCTTGTGGTGAGCTTGTCAATATGAGTGAACTGATTGACTTTGTTGTTTTCATTTGGCTTGGTTGTTTCTGCATTACAGTAGAATGGCCAATTAGATTCTCTTTTTCATAAGTCATTATGTAATTTGTTAATATTGGATGGAATTGTCGCAACATGGAGATTAGATATACTTATTGCTCTTTAAGTAGTGTAATTGTCTGCAAGATGGATGCCATTTTATGTTATTTCACAACTCTCTTCACTTGTTAGTAAGATTGGGAGAGAATGGAAAACAAAACTCAGGATTTAGCGAGAGAACTTGTAATATTTGGAAAAAAAGTCTCAACAAGCCAACAAGTCAACAAAAACTGACAAATAACATCTTCTAATTTTTAAAGGGGCCGAGAGTTGTCGAGAAACAAAAGAAAAGAGAACAAAAGAGAGGAAAGGAAAGAGAAAGAAGAAAAAGAGAAGGGTTTTGTGCCGCGGGGGTCTCGCCAAGCCGATTTGACTTTGATTAGCAATGTCCGGTAAGTATTCACACCCCGCGTTTGTTCAATTGGAATATTTTTCCGAGTTAGGGCTCATATTTCGGAATTATATGTTATTTGAGCGGCGAAGTTCGATTTTTGAGTCGTTGAGCTGCGTATATATGTAGAATTGGTAGTTTAGGGTGTTGCGGGACCGTGGGATTTTACGGAACCCGATTAGGATTTACAGTTTGCCGGATATGAATTTTTGAAGTTGAGCGCTTGCAGTGAACAGTGCGCGACCAGCGGCTTTTAGGCCGATTTTTGTCGGCTTTCGTCTTGATTTTGGGACGGCCAAATTAGGGTTATTGTAGTGCTCCGAATGAGCTTTCTTTTAACTATAAGCTCGCTTGGAATGGAGTTTAGTGGAGAAAGTTATGGCGCAACCAAATTTTGCGCTCAAGCTCCGCGTTGCGGACAGTTTGGCTAGTCTTGTGCCCATTTCTTTTCTTCCTCCTTTAATTTATGTATATCCATGTACTTATGTGGAGATGTGAAAGGCATATTGACACAAAAAAAACTTGCAATATTGCACGAAAGAACTGCTAAAAGCTCCAAATCCGTGCAAGGAACATTGAAATTAAGATTGCAGAGATATACAAAAAGAAGAAACTAATATTCAAACCTCAAATGTGGAATTCATTTACTGAAAATGATGCTCTAACTTGTGGAAACAGACCTTATCATGAACAGGATGCTAAATTTTTCATCCAGCTAGTCATTTTGTTAAGTCCCAATGAAGAAATTCCCATCTTCCACTCCAGAAGCAGACCTTAATTCAAAACATAATCGTTTTTCGAGTCAATTTTCTTGATAGACAAGATCAACACACGGTGCTTGCCTGTTTTAAGCAACATAACGCTTTTTATCTGAAGTATGCCGAACAATATCAGCTTTGCTTATTCTGACGCAAGATAAACCCCTACATGGTCATAGAACACCACGAATTATGATCATTTTCAACTCTGGTCACGACAAATGTAACTGCTATAGGTAATGCACCCTTCTACGACATATGGGTGTACCAGCTTCCAATGCTGCCACTCTCTTTTTCAGAAGAGAATCTTCATTCATACAAATTGATAATGCACATAGATGGATCCAACGAAGTGAGTACGGATGTATCAGAGAAAAACAGTCACACCCAAGTGCAACACTAAAAGAATGAAATCCACGGTAATAATTGGAAAGACAAGGATCTAAATAAAACTTTGAAAATCATCAGACTCCGTCTTTCTACCGAATGAAATAGTAAGTTCCAAAACAAACAGAAACAAGTAGGCAAAAATAATCTAACATAGTTACTAAAGACACAAGGAACACCAAAATTTGTGTACTCTTCAGTGTTCTTCATCATGGTTCTCACTTCTTTGCCTTGTTCGGTACCCTGAAAACCCAATAAAATTCTATAAGATAAATCCAACTATGGATAAAGAGAAATCTGCCCATTTTGTTGCATATACTAACTCAGCTGCAGGTGCTGTAGCTGGTGGTGCTGCTGCTGGCTTCTCACTAGGTCCCTGTTCAATTTAGACAAGGGAATCAATTTAGAATCCACCTATGATACATAAATACATTTTCAGTCAAGTATAGTAGAGCTTGTAATTTTGCTAGCTTGAATCAAAACCAATCATCTTCAATAAATGCATGGGTTCATGCATTCTGGACCCAAATACTAAATTGTGAGACGACGCCATACAAACTTGTTCCTTCAGATCATTCTTGAAACTTCACACTAACACTTCACACCAGTTGACAGGTTCAAATCACTCTTGATCTGCACATCACTGAACAAATATTATAGGTGAATGAGCCTCCGATTACTAAATGGTAAGTCAAAATACCAATGATTTCATTATAAGTAGCAGCCCAAAACAAATGGTAAGTCGAAATACCTTCGATCATGAATGAGCCTCCGATCACTGAAGCTGCATATTGGATATTTTCTGAACGCTAAAGAAGACAATGACCTTATATATCAAGAACAACTTTGCCCATTTTATGAACTGGCTAAAACTTTAGAAGAACGGTAAAGGATAAGACAAAAAAAGAAGATTACGTGTGCAATCCACAAGCTTCGAATTCCATTAACAATTGTAGCACCAGACCCAAGACAAAAAAATGCCAACAACAGATATCAGAGCCCAAACAAATCTTTCTTTGGAATACCCATAACTGCAGAAAATGAGAGAACATAGTGAATACTCTGAAGAAGAATGAATCTCTGCATATGGGTGAAGCTCTAAGCAAGTTTGATAAGATCATAACTTACATAGAACTAAATCTTTACTACTCTAACAATCCTTTTCTAATGTCTATTGAAACTATGCCCTAGTTAATCACTACATCACGTCAAATGAATATCGAACTTGGTTCCTACTGGATTTATAGCCCAACTAACAAAATTGGAAATATAAAAACATTTCTTCCAAGTAACAACCAAGGAAATACAAAGGAAAATCTTTTCATATAAAAGGCACAGATGCAAATCCCAAGTCACAGTGAACTCATACTACAATAGTTACCTTATCAGAGAAGGACGCAAAAAATATTTTATTTGGTGAAGAGACTTATTACGAGGGTTCCTCCCGACTATTTGTGTTGCGACCGTGCATTGTCTATGCTTTCAAAGGGGGCTTCGGATTCATTCATCCTAGGATGCTGACAAGAGTTTGATGACCCCTGTATAAGAGAATAACAAATATATTTACATTTTACTAAACAATATGCCTAGATCAATATGTTTCAAGTAATCCCACATCAACAAAAGGCAAGTTGTACCTGGCTCAAAATGGTTCCGTGGGATTGATTATGGTACTCCAACATCTATCCAGAAAAAACCATTAACAACAAATATTACAATAGTAATAAAAAGTTCAAATAACAGTAGAATCTAAAATGATTTCATAATAAGCACCTGACTAGTGAATGGGGAAAATCCACTCCTCGGCGGCATGATGTATGGTGATTGCATCTACATTAGATAAATTACCTCATTAGCATAAAGAGGCACCATAACTTGAAGAACATACAAACAAACTAATTGATCACCAAACTATTAAATACCCGACTAGGGACTGGGCAAAATCCACTCATAATCCCGGACGGCATGATGAATGGTGGCTGCTGCATCCATATAAAAAAATGACCAATTAGTAAAACATAAATACAAATTGAGGACAAAGAGCAATATACCTGATTATGAAAATTTAGATTTACAGTAGGACCACCAATGTTGCTAGGATAAACGGCACTTCGAAACTGATTTGAATTACTCGAATAATCTAGGAACTGAGTTTCATTATGCGTCGCTTGGACAACCAACTCTACATTACAAAGTAATAGATACATTAATTGGTATCATGTAACATAAGCGAAAAATTTAACTAATTATAATAACTAGAATAATATGTCACTCACCTTGACTTTCTATTTGCGTTGGGGGAGTTCCTTTCTTAGATGTTTTCTTCTTTTTCTCACTGGAGCTTTTAAGCCTTCCGTAACTTAGTCCCTTTCGTTTCCTTCGAATGGGGTCCGCTACCGAAATATCGCACAAAGAAGCCTCATTATACTCATCATCACCAGCATCATCAGTCACAACCATACTTGATTTGTATGATGAAATTTCAGCCTTTGCTTTAACCATGTGCTTCCTCAATATTCTCATAGTATGTACATCTTCAGCTCCCAAACTCATCAGTTCAATGGATTCATGCATTAACGTGGAAAATCGATTAAATTTAGATGGACCCGGTGACATTTGATGGGATTCATCATTGACAATCCCTTCTTTGGCATCCTTAGTCCATCTTTTCAAAATATAGGAAGAAGGAATTACCGTAACCATCGACATGTTCACATTCAACACGCGTAAGGCATGGCGACACAACCACCCTTTTGATTCAAATAATTTGCATTCACAAGAAACTGATAAGTCTGCAGGGTCAAATCTAACAACATATTCACCTTGAATCCCAATCCCCATACACTTGAGAGTATATAAAGAAACCGATCCATCAGATGTAGTACTTGAAATATGTTCAGAGAGACTTTGCACAAATTCTTCATTAAACTTTAGAAAAATGGTACGGGTATATACCGAAGCAGCATGTGACAAGATCCCATTATTTTTAACCTGCGATTTGGCTGTCCCACGAGAACTATAATCATCTTGACTTTCAACTTCTCTCATATGTTTCAATTGTTCTTCATAATGGTGGACAAATTCTACAAGAGACAATGTCTTCGTCGACATATGTTGGAAGACATTATTGGTGCTCTCACTCCTTTGACTTGACCTTATACCACATGTAAAAGAGTCACGACCAAAAGCTGAACTCCATTTATGTCTAAGGTCATATAATCTCCGAAGCCAATTGTTATTTTTAGTACCCCACACCTCTTCCATTTCCCTCCATGTAGCTTCAAATTCGTCCTCTGATTTGCATCTATACATAAGCACTAAGAAATATTTATCCTTAAAACCTGGCTTATGGTAAAGATGTGGAATGTTTTGATTGGCATTTTTCCCGATGTGCCAAGTGCATAAACGATGCTGTGTATTTGGAAACACCATTCTAATGGCTTTTGCCATGGCTTGGTCTTGATCAGTGAATATGGTTTTCGGAGCCTTATTTCCCATAGACTTCAAAAACACATCAAATAACCAAATAAATGATTCTGCAGTCTCGTCCAGCAAAAATGCACAACCAAACAGAGTATTCTTCCAATGGTGATTAACCCCAACAAAAGGTGCACATATCATGTTATATTTGTTGGTACGGTATGTGGTATCAAACACTAGCACATCACCAAAACAGTCATAATCAAATTTGGACAAGCTATCTCTCCAAAATAAATTGGTCAATCTACCATCTTGATCTACTTGAACAGCATAGAAAAACATTGGGTTTTGCATTTGCATGCAATGAAAATGGTTCAAAAGACTTTGACAATCTCCGCCACTTATAACCTTGGATTTTTCCGTTTGCAAAAAATTTTGACAATCACGCAGGATGAAACCTAAGTTTTTGCTTCCTCCAGCTTCGTTTGCTAAAAATTTATATGCCGAAGTCCCCCCAATGCCTGCTTTAATCATATCAACCAAAACACCCTTGCACGTGTCAGATATCATTCTTCCACATCTAATCAAATGCTTTTGATCTTCCCGTACAAATGCATGATTATGCTCAGAAACATAGTCCATGACTTCATAGACACCCTTATCAACCTTAAATTTGATATGAGCAAGACACCCACATCTAACTTCAAATCTCTCATATTTCTTTTCTTGATCAGATGACCCAACCGAATGCCCCTCACAATTACACAAAAAAGTTCGCCGGGTTATTTCACCCTTTCTATTTTTAACCGCATTACCTTTTCTCACTCCAAATCCTTTGCTGATTGCATAAGCCACATACTTATGATATGCTTCAAGTTCATTTGAGAAAACCATCCCTACTACAAACTCAAAATCTTTGTCCATATCACGCATCACATGTGCAAGATGGGAAGTTTCATGCTGCAATCAAATGAACAAAAAATAATTCAAGAAAAATAGCATCTCATCCTTTACTTAAGAAAGCAAATTATGTTTTATGAGTAAAGAATTACCTCTAAGTCAGCCATTTGATATCTTTACAAGTGCAAAATAACTGAGGTGATGAGAGACTATGAAGTTCCCTCCTAATGAAATAAAAAACAAACATTTTTAGAACATAATCACTCACACAAACATTTTTAGAGCACAATCAAACACAATCAGCAAAATATACAAGCATGGGATTTATTTAGGGACCCAATGTAATTACTAAACTCCACATCGTCATCAATAACGAACGGAAAATCGAAATTAACGATATTGGGGTTTAATCTCTTACTTACTGCCAAACAGGAAAAATCATCTCAATGGGGTATCATGGACTTATGTCTTTCCCTCATTGGAGCCACACCTACTTTTTCTTAGATAGTTTTATGTCTAGAAAAAAAAGATTCAAGGAAAGTTCATATCTTATGCATTAATCCATTGTGTCTAAATGAAGTATCCGGACAAGCTATTAAAAAACCAATAAATTTGGCAAATTGATCACCATGTGTACCATAGAATGTCTACATTCTATACATAATTTTCAGGATCAGCTATACTTTTATAGTCACCGTTGTCATTCCAAAATCCCTAACATTAACATATCACGTTGCATATTGGCTTTAACCACACTAACCACGGCAGAAGTGCTCCACAACCAACAAAAACAATCAACTATTGATTCATTAGATTAGATATCCAATGATTTTCAATTAGACAAAGCAGTAAAGCCAGCCACCCAGACAACATAATTTACAAGTTAACATCTAACAAATTCATTCTAGCTACTATTTCTAAGCTTTGAGTTTCACTAAGATGCGACTCTACTGGTACATCGGTACATCCACTCAAGACTGTCTATTGTTTGCAAATAAGCCCAACAAATAAACATAGTAGCCCAAATAGGTTGCAGTACATTGCTTGCAAATACATCCTATATTATGGATTTCTCACAAGAGAAATGATCAGGATATTGAACTTTGGCAATAAAAGGAAGAGTTAAAAAATTGCCTGTTTCTCCCGCGACAAATGAGCACGTTCAACAGCAAGCATTTCTTCCCACCTCAAAACCTAGTGTTACAGAGATATCACACGAAGGAATTATTAAGTTTTTAGTGCAAATATTAGTGGTACTAAATGTTGGAGTTTGTGCTATTGTCCACAAACTTCCGGTGATATCTTAATGCTAATTAAAGAAACGATAAAAGTACTCACATATTGTGCATAGTGAATCGCATCATCAGACTTCAAGCAATATTTCAATGCATGCAGGAGATCCTGGATTATCATGTATGAAACATTTCAGGGACAATGAAAGTAAAATCAAAGGAAGTAGATGGGCAAACTTACATATAGGAAATTTGTGATGTAAGCTATACACCCAAATTTACATATATAAGAAAAACGAAAGGCATAGTTCAAGTGTATCCTATCCACATTTACATTGATTCAATGGATACACTTGTCTTATCAAATTGAGTGAAAACTCAAAGATTCTCATTTTTGCTTGTTAATTGCAAAAGGCATAATCACCCTGTAAGTACCAGCTACCTCAACAAATATCTGAAAAAGTTGAAGAAATGCGTTACTAAAATGTCTAGCTAAATCATCATCTACTTAAGTTGATCTTCCAGGACCATTGCCATTTATATTTGAATCAACTAGAATTTAACTTAAAAGAGCTCCTAAATTGCCTTGAGCAAGGTAAGGCCAATAGCACATGAGTTCCATTTTTTCCTCCTATGGATTTTCCATGATGATGTTCCTCCATCTTAACTCAGATATCAGATAGTAGATAAAAGCATCCATGTACGCAATCTCTGTTTTGGCTTTCTCAATGTCCTCCTCATCAAGTAATAGAAATCCAAATGGATCATTGCCTACTTCAACTTCCGTGGATGCAAGATAAAGGAACATAAGCTGTTAGAGGCATAGTGGCTCTAACTAGATAGTGCTTTATCCGATCTAGTTTCCTTGACAGTTTACAGATGGAGGACAATAATTCTTGAAGCGCAAACAACATGGAGGGCCCTGATTTTCAGTGTTACAAAAAGTACAGATAAATTTACATGACCTTGTGCTTGTTCTTATTGATCCTCGGCCGCTCATTGATCACGAAACCAAACTGCAAGGGGGAACTCAAGATAAAAAAATATAAAAAAAGCCAGTTATTTAAACATAATTAGATCCACACTTGAATTGACTACAATTAACAAAAATGTCGGACGTGAACATAATCAGTTTGCAGAAAATAGACTAATTGATGGACTTAACTAATAGAGCTCAATAATCTCAAAGCAATGCAACTGAAAAGATCCCTTTTATATTTTTGCAGATGAAATCCAATGAAGAGACAACCTATGATGCTTGCATCTATTCTCTCCCGCACAAGAACAAAAATGGTTGTCTGTGGCATTATCCACAGATTGCACTCAAGAAAAATGCCTGATGTTCTTTCAACCAAAATCAATAGAGAGCGTAAGAATGAGCACAGGCCACATCTTTCATTTACCACACAGTCATAACAAGCACAAGCATTATCACCCATTCACCAAACGAACCTCAAGCTGACTATTTGACAAATTAAGCACGACCAATCCGACAATCTGCCCGAACGCCAAAAAAACATAATAATAGGGAACCTGTTGGTGGCGCGGTTCGTTATAGAGAGCCGAACAAAGCCGTTTCTCGGGACAAAGAGAGAGGGGCAGAGGACGAATCGCCAATGGGGGGCTTCGGAGGCGACGGCGTAGGCGGAGGCGGCCGCGTGGTCGAGATCTGAGCCACCAATCTTCACGTTAGGGCAAAAACGATGGGAATTTCAAGTCATACAAAACCCTAACCTGAGAATGGGGCTTCGGGAGGTAACGCAGAGGGCGAGTCGGAGCCCGAGATCTCCAAAGGGGCTGCGGGAGGCGACGGCAGAGGCGCGGTTCGTCACAGAGAGCAGAGCGGAGCCATTTCTCGGGATAGAGAGAGTGGCAGAGGACGAATCGCCAATGGAGGGCTTTGGAGGAGACGGCGACGGCGTAGGCGGAGGCGGCCGCGTGGTCAGGATCTGAGCCACCGATGGGCTCCGGGAGGCGACGACGGAGGAAACCGGCGGAGGCAGAGGCGCGGTCCACAAAAAGAGCCGCGCTTCGCGGAGGAAAGAGAGAGAGAGCAAATGGGTTTTCTAGAAGGGGACGGCGGAGGCAACCGGTGTAGGCGCGGCGGGTTCACGACCAAAGGATGCGAAGTCGGGGAGGAAGGAAGAGGAAGTCGGGGAGGAAGAAAGAGGAAGTCGCGAGCGGGAGGAATTTTGAGCGGGAGGAGTAAAGGAGAGAGAAACCAGGAGGTGAAAAGTGAATATTTGAGCACTAACGGAGGAGAGTTAACGGAGAATGGGAGAGAGAAGGGAAAGCGGCTGATTCTTTAGTAAATCTGATCTGTGGGCCCTTCTTGCCACGTGTCTTCCGCTCAATGGTGTTATGTATTGCTGACGTGGTGTATTCCACTCACGCAATATTTTCTCGGACACGAGAGTTGCGGACTCCATGCCTAGTTGAGTAGAGTAGCAGAGGTAGCTTCTATAACGCAACCCCACATAGAAATGGAGAGGCGGCCGTGGATATGGAACCAAAGACTTCATCAGTGGAATGGGCATAAAATCATGTCTCAGAACAGAATAAATACTAGATATATTAAGTGGGGCATGCCGATAATAAGTTTCGTAATTCGCAAATAGAAATAAGCGGGCCTGTCTTAAAATTATTTTTTTTTATAATCTGGAGTCACCTAGCTGAAGGCACATGAAATATCTTGCAAGTCTTATGAGAATCAGCTAAGTTCATGGGACTAGACCAATAATAATAATAATAATGGAAATAAATGCATAGCTAATGCACGGGACTAGATTAGAGCAAGTGTAATAACGACATGCTTATTCCATAGTTTGATTTGCGCGAAGGGATAACTATTCTGGGACTGTCTCTTTGCCACATTGGTAATTGCTAACGTGATGCTCTAGTCAGAGCTGATCATCCTACATGACACAGTCAGTGCTGACATTGATAATTTTTATAATTTTTTTTATAAATTTATGAAATTTTTTCTTTTTTTCCTTTTCTTTTCTAATATTTTTCTTTTTCTTTTCTTTTATTATTATTTTTTATTTTCCTTTTTCCCTTCGCCGGCTATTGCTTGGCCTTGTCAATGGTTGGTAGATGTCGCTATCCTCGAGCAAGGGTGGGTGAAGGCGGCCCTTGCCAGCCCAAGCGTAGGTGTCCCTCGCTTGAGGTCGACAGAGGTCACCGCCCATCAATGAGGCCAGGTGACAGCCGATGGAGGAAAAAAGGGAAAAAGAAAAAAGAAAAGGAAATGAAAAAAGAGAAAAAGAAAAAGAAAATCGTACAATTAAAAAAATTGTTCATGTCAACGAAGGTCACATCAAGTAAGACAGTTGGCGCTAACTAAATCACCACGTCATTAATTTCTGGCCAAAATTGATCGGAATGACTAATTTGGCAAATTGTTTAAAGGTTTAGGACTAAATTTGTAAATCATCAAAATGTTTAAAATCAAATTGGCATAATTGAAAGGTTTATGACTAAATTGGCAAGCTGTCAAAATGTTTAGGATTAAATTGGCACAATTAAAAGGTTTAGAACTGAATTGTCTGTCGTACAATAGGTTTATATTTTTTTGGACAATTTTCCCATCGAAGAAGTAAGAATGTATTGGACTATCCAAACACTGCTATTTGAACCTAAAATATTTCTAAAGCTTATCTAATCAACACAAAGGCTATATTTTCCTCTGCCTTCCTTATATTTGTGGAATTTTATTGTGTATATTGTTAAAACGCAAGTAAATTATGGACCGTAAGTGATATTACAATTAAAATAAGTACCATTTATTATTATAAGTTAAAATTATTTTTATTTGTACTTTTAAAGATAAGATAAATAGGGATTGTGGTAAGCGTTAGAAGCTTCCACCATTCATGGTTGGAGGAAACTTCCTCCAATTATGCCTTTAATTGGTGACTTACGGATTATGGACATTGTCCACTTGCAAACTTAAGTAAAAATAAATGTGGGTTATGTCCACATTTTTAAATCAGACAATTGGTTGAAGAAAGCTTCATCCAATCAAAGATGGAGGGGGACATGGCCCTTCTTTATAGCCGTTTAATATGATCCGTTTATCAGGACGCCCATTAATTACAATTTTCTACATCATTTAATATAATAAATTTGTTGATTACCCTTAATATATCTCACATTTATGACCCAAATACTAGCATCAGGACACAATAGTGGACGCATTTATCAAGATGATTTACAGACATAGATCGGATCATAATACCTGTGTACGGGTTGAAAACTCAAATCCTAGATTGAAAGAGTGATGCATGGAAGCATGGATGCATATATTAATGTCACATATTGCTACATGAACTTTTTTATCCTTCCCTTTGCACTTTACCTCCGAATTATTTTCTCGATCTTTCATGGGGAATTTACAAGTTAACACAGAATACTTTCATTTTATTGTGAATTTGTTTAGTCTAATCGCTATTTAGTCAAGTACCTTCATGAAACCACATGTTTCTCACTATACTTAATTATATAGGATACTTGAAAGAAATCGTGTTACAAAGTCCTGGATGTGTGGTTAGTATTCTATGTTATGTCGGTTAATAAATTATCTTCCTAAAACCTATGTGCCTAACCAGACTAGCTTCTCATTTTAATATACCTAAGTTCCATATGTGAAGAAAACGATGGTATGGGAAACTTCAGAAACGCGATACGAAGATGTGGCCTAATCACGGCAAACCTGATTTAATAGAATAACGAAGCATATCAGATGCAACCCAATGAGCCTTCGTGACATCGCTCAAGTCACTGTTCAAATTGCTGCACGATGAAGGGAAAGCATGTGAGCCTTTGAGATTTGGATCAAGTTGGGTCCTGGTTGAGAGAGAGAGAGAGAGAGAGAGAGAGAGAGAGAGAGAGAGAGAGAGAGAGAGAGAGAGAGAGATTTTGCAGCGTCTTTTCTCGGTTTCCCATTTCAGATGGTGACCCTTTGATTTTATACGGAACTAAAACGCGAGGGCATTATAGACGATGAGGAAAGCGACAGCTAGTAATCATTGTCCTATCTACTCTTTTCCTTATCTCGGCGAGCAAAGTTTTGCACGAAACTACGGGGGAGGAACATCGAAACATTGCTAGTACGAGCTCATGATATGGGATAGAAATGTAGATTTTTATTAGATGCTTAGGATGATTGAGCCTTTCGATTTGTGTAATGTCCATTGATGCATGTGGGGTTTTCCTGTCCACCTAAATAGGGAGGCGAGCATTGCTCCTGAGTCATTACGTATGTGTTGGGAGACGCTGTAGATTTTTTTGTGAGATCATAGTCAAAGTTTAAGTTATTAAATGAAAGTGCGATATAATATATAAAAATACTCTAACATTCTCTCTCACTCATAAGCTAGACTTTGAACTAAGATTTAGGAGGAGAGCATTCGGTTAATATATAAATACTCTAATGCTCCCCCTTATGAATAACCTATCTATTTTAGACTTATAGATCGACCGGTGGCAGCAAAACCAGCTGACTCGGTTCTCAATTCCAATCTTTTGTAACCAGTGGTCACAGGGTCGGTTTTCAATTCTACGTCTGGAACTGATCACCTATATCAACATTAAAGGATCCAATTTGAAACCAATCACCCTTATTAAAATTTAAATTTATAAACAAAAATGTATATGGGCATAAATAATTTGAATTCAGAACCTCTTATTCTAATGCCATGTAATATAATAAGTCGCCGACACCTTTCCTTCTCTGTGTACAAGGGAATACGGCATCTTCCTTTCGCTTCTCTCCAAGAACACCCGGCGATTACTTAATTACGAACAGTGGCACAGCATGATGTCACCGCGCATGTCACCCACGACAGCGACTTCGGTAGATCGTCCACCGCAACGAATAGAAGAACCGAGAGAGAGAGAGAGAGAGCAAGAAAGAAACGGGGCAGAGCAGATCGGAAGGCCACGGGATTTGATATCGTCGATTACGAATTCGGTTGCAAAATGCCAATGTGAACGGCCGCAAATGTTGAGACTCTGCGACGTGGGGATTAGTTACGACAAAATCATCTTCCACTCGAACAGCACCGACAAAATCGGAAGACGTGTAGTAGACTAGACCAAGGTTGTTGACGTCTCATCCCTCGTCCTTCCGTTTTTTCCTGCGGTTTCCGTGGTCATGTCAAACTTCTTTATCCTTCCACCGCCACTAGCCAAAGGAAATTTTACGGGGATAAGTATACTGAAAGTTCTAAAGTTTACTAATTTTGTTAGTCTTAAAATTTTTAAAAAGTATAGTTAAGTTTTAAAACTTGTCAAATTGATGCAATCAAGTCCTTCCGTTAATTTCTTCCAACTTGACAAACGAAAAATGTTGACGTGGCATTTTATTACTTTCTCTCTCTTACGTGGTACTTTTTGTTATTTTCTTTTTCAAAATTTTACTTAAATTAGATAAAATAAATTAAAATTGACAATTATTTATTTCTAAAAACCAAGTAAAATAAAAAGGAACAAGCCCTTGCCCTTGCTGGTTATGGCTGCCACAACCGTCGGGAAGGGTCGGCGGAGGTCGCTTGGGCCTTTTCGACCCTTCCTAGTGGCTGTGGCGGCGGCCACCGCAATTAGTTATGCAGTTGCTAGCTTTTTTTAATTTTTTAGTCCAATTTAGTTTGTATTTTTTTTAATTTCAGAATTTTTTTTTGATGTGGTGCTTGGTGGGCGCTACATTATCTCCACGTGTTTTAAGAAAGAAATAAAATAAGATATGTCGGCATTTTCCAATGCACTTATCCCAATTTTATCTATTCTAGTTATCAAGTATTTTCGTGTTTCTTTTGATCAACATTTATAAAAAATAAATCATCGTATCTAGGAGTGAGCATGGATTCAGGGTAAAACCAGTAATCTGATCGAACCGGCCACAATAATTGGTCCGGTTTCAGGTTTCCACGATTACTGGTGCGATTCTCGGTTATAAAAAAAGTGGAACCGGTACAATGTGGTTTTGGTTCCTGAGTAAGAACTGAACCAGAAACCATGAACCGATGAAACGGACCCGAGCTAACCCTAAATTCTCTTTTTACTCTTGCTAACAAAAACAAGCGCTGCCTCTCAATTCTCATCTACCTCTCATCTTCTTGTTCTACCACATATCAATAACAAACCAGTACCCACTAACTCAACCTATTATATTGTTTCCTTTTTCTCTATATCTAGTTTCTCACAATTTCGACCACCTACTACCTTTTCTATTGGTAGTGAAAATCCCCATCTCTAGTTGAATGCTTTCGAAGTTGTCGTGATGGATACAAATTGATAAATAAAAGTTAGGCTGTTAGAGAATACAATGGGGACTATAGTTAGTATATTTTTTAACAAATATAAACTTCTGAAGTACATACCGAGCAAGACATCATCTTGCTCGAGAAAAGGGAAGCTCGACCGTACACTTGGTAGGATGACTGTCGCACCACGGAATGTAGCTCTCGTCCAATCACTGTGAGCAAAGAGTTCCTTCTTTGTCGATACTAGTTTGTTTCATTTTTATGTTACGTGTTTTTAAATTTTTATTGTTTATTTTATTTTATGTGTTCATCTTTTATGGATTGTTGCTATTGACAAACTGAGATTTTTGTTGTTGCATTCACTTTCATTTTTTTTAAACTAAAAACGAAACAAAAAGAGAAGAAATTGGCCAATTCTTGGGTAGACTCTTAAACCGATTGACATGCTAGGTTCCAGATTCTAAGATTTGCAAGTTAGGTTCCAAATTCCAAAAATTGGGGAATCGGTTTCCACAAGGTAGGTTTTGAGTTCCATGTAGAACCTATATCGACCTTGGAATCATTCACCCCAAGTCAAATCTATCATATTTGAATAGTAATTTGAAATACTCATTAAAGTTTGTGTCATGTTTTCGTTTTCCTCTTAATTAGAGTGCCCTTGAGTTGCTTTGAATGCTCCTTGAGTTGCTTATGCAAACTTAAACAGAAGATAAAGCACATAAACCGTCATAAAGATCACTTAAAATTTCACTATGTAGAATTTCTATTCATAATACGGGTTAGTGGAGCTTTTGCCCCAAATCCTCTTCATATATGTGCGCAGATCGCCCGGTCTAGACGTCCATGTCTATCACAAAAAGTCATCGTGCTCCCTAAGTTGCTTTACAAAACAATTCATAGAATTATATCACGAGATACATGAAAATAATACATATCCTCATATATCAAAACCTTGTTACTCAACCACCCATAAAAGAACATAAAGTTAATCGGTTCGCAACGAACCTAATGCTTCACTAAATAGCTGTACAGAAGTAATTCGAGCACTGTACATCACGGATCTCCTCTACATCATGTAACGAGTTGCTAGTTTCCTCGTCATCCAAAATAGGATCGAGAAGTACCAGGTCGTCTCAAATTGCTAAACTCAAGCCACAGTGATAACTAAAACACGAGCTTTTCCATAAGCAATTTATGGTATGTTTTTATAGCGTTGGTCTACTATTAGAAATTGATAGCACGTCTTTCATTACGTATCAGATTATCCTCTTACAAACACTCTTTTCTTGCTGGGTTTTCTGCTACTATAGCTAGAAACGGTGGGCGGCACTGTGACGCGCTTACTCATCAAATGAGAACATTAGTCATCTAATAATCTTGTGTTCACTATCACGTTGGAAAATTCCCTATGCTCAGGTATGGTGCAAAACTTAGATTTCTATAAGTTAAATTACTAGTGAAGAGTTTTCATTGCCCAAATACCATATCGATGTGACACGATAAAAATTAATCGAAGAACCAACGACGTTTGTGGAGACTTGGCCATTTCATACATCGACATGAAGTTGATACGAAACCTTAATATGATAGCATGGATCCGTCTTATGAAAAACATTTAGCATTGATCTGCAATTGATTATAGCTAGTGAAGCTTTTGACTTGAATCAGAATGATAAGGATGTTTCTTAGATCCATTATTATTGTAATTAGACTCTACACGAACACTTTTACAATTTTCACACACGAAAAAACGCGGAGTATAACCATAAATAGAAGTTCTTCATGAGCATCAATCTTCTCAAAGATGGATTCGCACAATGCAAAATTGGACTGATGAACATTCGATTACAGAGTGATAAGGCCAGTAGGGCACCTCACTTTCATATTCCCAGTCCGATCTATTCAACCTCAGTGGTTGGAAAGCGCAAGTGGGGCCCTACTAAAAGGAAAATCCAAAATACTGAGTGACGTGATCGGTGACGACGACAATAGTCCCGAAGCCCCTATAAATAGAGACACTGACACTCCCATCACTCCACTCCCACACCATCAGCTCTCTCACACATCCTCCCCAATGTCTTCCAAGTACTTGCTAGTTTTGCTCCTGGGAACGGCGCTTTTCGCCGCCGCGGTCCTCTCCGACGGCCATCATCCTTTCAAAAAAGAGCACAAGCCACACCACAAGCACCACCCCGGCAGTCGTCGTCTCTTGGAGACAGCCGAAGCCGACGACTCGCACCACCACCACCACCACCACCACCACCCTCATGAGCATGTTCTCGTCGAGGAGGTCGAAAAAGAAGACTCCCACAAAAAGCCATTCCCAGGAAAGAAGCCGCCCCACCACCCTGGCCACATGCTTGCCGAGGAAGTGGAAGCCGATGAAAAAAAGAAGCCATTCCCCGAGCACAAACCCCCGAAGAAAGGCGACAAGCCGCCGCCGAAGCACAAGCCGCCCCACGAGGGTCACATTCTCGTAGAGGAGGTGGAAGAGGACTCGAAGAAGCCTTTCTCTGAGCACAAGCCGCCCAAGAAAGGTGAGGAGCCGAAGAAGGGAAAGGGAGAGAAACTACCACCGAAGCACAAGCCACCACACGAGGGACACATTCTCGCAGAGGAGGTGGAAGAGGACTCAAAGAAGCCGTTCCCTGAGCACAAGCCACCGAAGAAAGGCGAGGAGCCGAAGAAGGGCAAGGGAGAGAAGCCGTCGCACCACAAGCCACCGCACAAGCCCCCCACCGAGAACTGAGTGTGCGTTCTTCAATGAATGTATATGTCGTGTGCTTGTCACGTACTCAAATAAGAGCTGTTCCTTACAGTACTGATTTGACTTCCAAATAACCATCACATTAGAAAAAAACTAAACATTCAAAAAAGAAAATGAGCAATGCACAAATAGAGTGATCGAAAGGGGAGGAATGGAATGCGCGCCCCTTTGTTGTCGACGATGATTAGAGGTCTTCCCCGGGCCACCAACCACTAGGCAAAGGCTGCCTAGGCATCGCAGCCGCCACGCTTGGGCCAGGGCGACCCTTTCACGATCGTGGCTAGGGTTGTTGCAGCCACCACCTAGCGAGGGCCCGCTCTTGTTGAGGGTGGCAGCCCTCCCTGATGGCCCAACAAGGGCCCCCCACCCTCGTCGGCGATAAAGGGGATGATGGCGCCATCCCCCTTCTTGTGCCTCCCTGCCTGCCCGATCCCCTTCTCCTTTCTTTATTAAATTTCCCCATAAGTAAACAAGAGCACGTGGACAAAATAGTAAGGGAAAGAGCGGGTCCGATTTTTATTCTGAAAATGATATTAGTGGCCGTGGCTAAATAAGACAATAAGAAAAAGAAAATGTGCCCCAAAAGCTTCGTAATCATGTGACAATTAAAATTTCATAAAAATCACATGACCTATATCTTGCCATCCACCAGATGGTACCCACTTATACCCTGGAGGATTAATATCAATGAGCAAGATCGTCAATTTAAAAAACGTGCACTATTAGAAATCTCATCCTACTCATAATCAGCTTCGCAAACAACTCGTATACAGTGTTCGAAAGGGGTGTGTACACTATAAAGTATAAAAAGGTTCGGAATTCATTTTTCGAATCGCATCTGCATTTATACGTAATTCGTGTCAATGAGTGTCTATGTACCGATTACCTGTATAGCTTTCTATCATATTCATTCGAATATTTTCTTTGTACTTCAGGCTTCCGGTCTCTCTTGTTCCTGCCAATCTAACAAGGACCTATGTTAAATGACATGAATGCTGTACTGCATTCAAATGTACGTTCATGAAGGTGTTTTCTTCTGTCCACCTTCATTTTGGGAGAGATAATTCGTTTCTAATATCTTTAAAGCAAATATTTTAGGACGTGGTCCGTGTATCCTCTATAGTAATGGAGTATAAAAATGGGTTGTGCCGATGTATCAACCTCTCCAAATGGTGAATCTTCTTTTTGCTCAATAAATTGTAATCCTCCCATCGATGCTGCCTTTGTGGCTAGCAAATACGAAATTTTCAGCATCATTTAACATTGTGGTGTTTCGAGTAAATATATCGTAATGCTTTTTGTTAGTCGAGAATTGATGGTAACATTGGAAAAGCAAAAGATGACACCCGATAATCTACATCGTCCAAGGTCTACTCAGTGCACCATACGACAACCGATACAAAGGAATGGGCCTCCTGATTGTTGTCTGAGATTACCAAAGCAATCCACACTCGATTATTCCGTTACTGATTTTAAACTCAATCTGCTCATGAACGCATAGAAGCCCATATTCCTCGTCCCAAATCACGACCTGCTGAAGGTCAACTAAAGTTCAAGTTCTGGAGAAAAGAGAAGCTATAGACGCTGGCATTTCTTCGACTAAAAAGAGAATGAAAACCTCCTTCATTTCCTTAGACGTTGATCATATTCATGTTGACGTGGGTTTTTGTCAGTCTCCTTCCCTATGCGCTAGTGATATTACCACGGCTGTTGTTACTGCAAGTTCTGAAGGCCAAAACATTCTGACTAGTGAAATTCCTTCTCGGAATGATGTGGATGAGGTTGTTTCTACACTTGAGATGAATCAAACTTTTCCTCATCCTTGTCTCGAAGGAGTATCACTAGTTTCTGCTCCCATTCCTTTGGCAACATATAGTAAGAGATCCCCAATATATATTGGCCATTATTTACCTTTTTTATGACATTGGCGTGTTGAAGTCTAAGTCAACAGCTCCATTCCATGCTTCGAGTAGTCAACATCTGGAAAAGGGACCCACCAATGTATTTATACTGCTTTCATCAGCTAGACCCCCTTTTCTACTTTTTCCATCGCCCAAGCAAGGTACATATATGTTTTTTGCTCTTCTGCTCGCGATTTTCATTTCGCATGTCTTGCTGAATGGCGACTACACTTGATCTTGTTAGGCACTGCAGAGACTTACTCATCGATTTTATCTACTCCTTCAAATCAGGCTACTGATTGAGGGTCTCCTCCTGTCGGATTGAGTAGTGAAGTTAATCTTACTACTTTTACAACTCATGATCTCTCGACTTCCATCCCTGCCGAGAATTCATCTTTATCCCCCATGACTTTGTTACCATCTTCCTTAGCTCGGCAGTTAGTTCAAATCAATACTGAGGGTTCTCCTGAATCCCTTGCGAAAACCAAACTAATGTTGGAGCAAGCTGAGAAGCTTTTAATTCGCGCACCTGTCTATTCCAATAGTTCAGGTTTCTCTTGGTCACGAGAATGTTGACGAAATAGTAAAGGCTAAACTGCTATTTCGAGTGGTGGTTTCCCAATGATCATGAATCATATGCCACTCATCCCAAGGCTTGAACATTTCCTACGTGAATTGTGTCAAGGTGATAATTGCTCTACTTTGCCTCCAGAGCTTAAGAAGAGATATGAAGACTTCCTCGACAAGTTCCTCGTCGGGGTAGAATCTTATCGACGCAACCACAAAACAATTCTTTCTCTAACTCTTTTAGAGCGGGAGGATTAATGATTCAAAGGTCGTACCTTTTATGTTCTCGATAAGTGACGATAATCTTTGAGTTTTTCCCCATCCACGACTCCTTTCCATTATCCAAGTCTTGCCGCAAACCGTCAAATCAGTTAATGGAGATTGCTTATTTATACCTGGTCATCTGACTCCTATCAGCCGTTTACGCACGGATTTGCTCTAATCTGACGCTGAAGATGAGATTCGAACTATGCTTACTCAACTATTTGATCTCCAACATAGATGTCCCGCACTTGAGCATATTTTCAAAGAATTCTCTTCTTCTTCTGTTCAAAATTTAGAAGATTTCAAGGCCAAGCAGCAACAACCTGAAGCTTATGAAGCGACTGCAAACAATCGCTGGGAAAAGAAAAATGAACTCTTCATGCCTAAGAGGTTCTGGAAAGTCATCTAGCTAATGACGATACCACATTACTATCTTTGGCGGCTCAAGAGAAAATGGTCAATCAGCTCATGTCTTCATGCCACCATCCGTCTCTCAAACTCCATGACCTCTGCCAGGAAATGACCAAAACATGACAGCAAATGCAAGGCATGAAGTATACTTGAGCAACTTTGCTCTCATTATTAGGGAGCATTTTGGTCTCAAGGATCCGGAATCTTAGACAGCTCTTATTTCAAGGATTATCGATGTTTGTCTTAACTTGCGTAGTTCACTATCATCCAGGTCTTGTACAGTCTACTATCTCTTGTAATCAATGTGACTAATGAAGATTTCCCTTTTCCTTATGCCGCATTTGAAAACTTTGATCAATCCTTTATGTTGCTCTTTAGCAACAGTCGACCATTCCGTTAATTGGGAACCTCATTAATCTTCATTGTTGAAGCTTCGACGGCAATTACCAAAGAGATTATATTGATTTGACCTTGATGACAGACCATCAATTATTTGGGACACGCATGCACCATCTTAAGTTCGATGGTATTATCCCCAAGACAACGTAGACCATCGTTGCATCTGTATATATTCTTTATTATGCTGAAGTCATGAAACATACCTTTAATAACGTCAACACTTTTCATGTTCCTGAGTATTGCACGCCAATTGTCCATTGGTACGATTCATTATGATGAGTGTATTTTCCGAGGTACCTTTTCTTTCGATCTCGATTTTGCCGTCGATTTCATCGCTCCTGTTCAGGCACTTTCTTCAATTCACAATTATGCCATTCCAACTACTCCTTGATACGGTTTCATCAGCGGTTATGGTACCCATTCATGCATGTCTTTTAATACACGATTTGGTCGCGTTAGTGATCATTATGCACATTACCACACATCTTGTGTGGGATGAACCACGTCGCTTTAACTTCTGCAGAAAATTTTATATAAACTTGCGTTGATGGTCTAGGAACTGCATCGTTGTATCAAACACGTGGCTCCTCTTGGCAATATTCTTTCCTTTTCTTATAGCAAATCAAGCATGGCCTCGATTCCCTCTAATTCTGCTTCTTCTACTTTCTCCTTCACTGATGACTTCATTTCCTTATGAAAAAGGTTGATTGACTTGCTGGCTCTCTTAAAGCTGTATCGTGTCCCATCTATATATCTTGGAAGAGATCCTATCTTTTATGAATGGTGCCGAGTCATGTGGTCTTCCTTCATACCATCCGTTGCAGAAGGATTTTGATGAATGTTCCATCACATTCGACCATGTGTTGAGTCTTTTCAAGAGAACCGGACCAAGATCAACATATACTTATCCTTCAAAGAAAATTATTGGGACAAGAGGGATAGGGCTCAGCATGCTGAGTTTGTCCTTAAGTCCGGTAGCAAGGTTCTAGAATTGGGCGAGAAAATCCACACCAAGCTATCTCATGCGAAGGAGAGGTTGGTGTAGAAGGTGATGGCTGTCGATGAGCAGATCGAGGAGGCCACCACGAGAAGAGAGATCACTACACTTGAAACGGGGGAAAATTGTCAAATCAGTCATAAACCTATTGTACGGCGACCAATTCAGTCCTAAACCTTTTAATTTTGCCAATTCAGTCCTAAACCTTTTAAATTCTTGCCAATTGAGTCCTTCCGGCCAATTTTGGCCGGCCGGCGCTGACGTGGCCGCCGGCCGTCCGGTCAACGCTGACGTGGCAATTTTTAATTATTTTTTTTCAATTTTTTAATATTTTTTTTCAATTTTTTTTTCTGCTGCCTCTCCACTGGCCGGTCCGGCGACCGGCGGCCGGCCAGAGGGAAGGGCTGGCGAGGCCTCTGGCGAAGCTTGCCCCGCCGGCCCCT